ATGCAAAATTGGCCAACTTAACTCATATGAGTTCTAATACCACGTTGATGAAAGAATCAAAATGAAAAAAAAAAAATTTAATTTAATATCAAGAATCAAATAATAATCAAATAATAATGAAGGTTTTCGAATAACACATAATAAGACGGTAAGAGATTTCTTTCAGTTTAATCAGGACCAATCCAACCGATTTGAAAGTCTAAGGGAAAATTTGAAATAATATATATTTTTCTAAAATAAAAATATATTTTATCAAAAATTGTATTAATTTACATATTAAAAATAAAATAAGTTATCAATTAAATTCTTAAATTATTATTTTCTTTAATTTTAGTTCTTAAATAATAATAGAAAATTAATAATCTCTAAAACCATTTATCTATCTAATATTTAAATTACATTAAAAAATGATTATGCTACTTTTAGCATCTTAATGTATGAATTAAATTCACTAGTTTTATATACTTCATTGATAAATTTCTGAAAAAAAATTAATTATTATATTTTTAGACTTTAAAAACTAAAGTAAAAACGATAGTAAATATTTAGGAACTAATATTAATATCAAAATTACACATAATTCTCGCAAATAAATAATAAAATATATGTGTAATTTCCATTAATTATAGTCTTTTAATAAAAAACATTTATAGAATTTATAAATTCATAATTAATTATAATATTAGTATATAGTGTATTGTTGGACCAATTTGTTAAACTGTGATGATTATTATAATTAAATAAAAATGGAAAATAAATAGTTTTTTATTTATAATTAAATAATTTTAGTTTCTTTATTAAAAATAATATTTATACAATTATAAAAATAATTTATTAATGGTAACTTAAGTGTGTTGTTGAACCAATTTTTTTATGAAGGTGTAAAAGAAAAGGGTTTTTGGACCAATTTATAAAGCAAATAATAATAAATATAATAGCTAAACAAAATTAGATGGGAAAAGATAAATATAAAACAGAAAAATGAAACCAGCAAGAATCATTCCTTACTACTTTATTTGCTTCCTACAACCGCTAGGCTGATGACTACTTCTGTTATGGAATAGTTTTTTTTAAATATATACTTGTTGAATCTATATTTGAAGCCCTTTTTTTATAGCTTTTTATAGCCCAACAATGTGAGGTTCAGGGTCATTGCCTCCCTTGCCTAGGTCTTGGGTTGAGCCTGAGTTTAATCAGAAGTATGGCTTCAATCTTGGACACACAACAATATTAAATTCATTTGAGGAAGAGTTTTGTCATCCATTTACAATTGCACACAAAAAAATATTCAATTTCTCTTGATAAAAATATAATTAAGATTGTGTATTACATTATGGTTTAATGTTGATCTAATTAATTATACTCCGTCTATTCATCCCTTTCTCTCTGAAGATGGTGTGGATAATTTAGGGTGGGGGCATAATAGCGATGAGAAGTTTTTTGTGAGTATTGCATACACTTATCTCACTTCTATCCCAAATGATTGGAATATCATTGGAATTAGAAAGATCTTTATCGGATTCAAACATTCACTTGACTTATGTTACATGAAATACTTTTGACTAATTTTAGTCAAAACAAGTGGAATTCAACTATCTCTGTTGATTGCAACATGTACGAATATAAAACGAATATAAAATATAATTTAATTTATGTGTTTCGAGATTGTTGTATCACAACACACGTTAGGATAAGACTTGTTCTATCAAATAAAATGATTCAATTTTACTCTTTCTAGTAGGAATTGAATCTCTTACCATCTTAAAAAAAACATTGTGGACTCGCACTATAATCAATAAATCAATAAATGTTAATATTTATAGTCTCTTTCTGGTGTTTATGAAAGTGGATGAACAAATCAACTTTTTAAAAAGGTTTTTGAAGGTCGAGTCACCTAATGACAACAATCATGCAATTGGTAAAGGAGATAGAGAATAGTAACCGTGTGCAGAACAATAACATATACATATTCAATGAATTGTTCAGAAAGTGGTTGGATTAAACTCAATTATGATGGTGAATACAAGAAGACTACATCCCAGTCAAATGGAGAGGTTTGTTCAAGGACTCTAGCGGAAATTGGTTATGGGGTTATGCTTAAAAAATTGGTACGTGTGATGACTATTACGGATATGTGAGCTATCTTTCATTAGATAACCAACTATACCCTTACTTTGAACAATAATGCGATCCTCAATCTTCTTAATCTCACATGAAGAATTTAGTATGAAAAATTTCCATGTTTGAGTTCTATCGTTCCAAATGATGATTAACTGTGGCACATGAAATTTGGTCATTTTCATTTTTCTGACTTGAATTACTTGTTAAGAAATGAATATGTTTATGGATTGTCTGTTGTGAATATTACAAATGGAATATGTGAGACTTGTCAAATTGGAAATAAACATAGAGATTTATTTTCAACTGAAATATTTTGGCAAGAGAAAAAACTGCTAGAGATAATTCATCTAGACTTGTGTTCTGTGGAAATACCAACACCAGGTGATTGTAAGTACTTTATCAGTTTTATTGATGATTTAAGTAGAAATACTTGAGTGTATTTCTTAAAACCAAAATCAGAAGCATGTGATGCCTTCAAAATATTTAAGGCATTCATAGAAAAACAAAGTGGTTGTAAAATCATAGCATCGAGAATACACAAAAGTCAAGAATACCTCGCTGATACAAGTTTCTTTGAACAACATGGAATTAAGCATAAACTAACAACAAGACAGACACCTCAACAGAATGTGATTGCTGAAAGAAAGAATAAATCAATTATAAATATGGTGAGATGCATGTTAAAGGCCAAACAAATGTCTAAAGAATTTTGGACAGAAGATGTTGCTACTATGGTTTATATTTTAAACAAGTGTCTTACAAAGAGTGTCTAAGAAAAGACTCCTGAAGGAGCTTGGAGTGGAAGAATACCCTCAATCCGACACTTTAGAGGTTTTGGATGTATTGCATATGCCCATGTACCAGATCAATTGAGAAAGAAGTTAGATGACAAAGAAGAAATATGTATCTTTGTTAGTTATAATTCAAACTCAAAGGCGATTATCAGTCGAGATGTGATTTTTGATGAAAGAGGAATGTGGGATTGATCTTTAAAGTCGCAAAAGGATCTAATAGTGACTTCAAATGATTACGAAGAAGAGAATGAATATAATTCAACACTTTATAAGCTAGAGACATCTAACAGACAACAAACAACAAATAACACCCAATGAGCCAGAAACATCCAATAGACAACAAAGGTCACGTAGATTATCATCCAGATTGTAAGATTGTATTTTAGATAAACGATAATGACTCATCTAATGAAGAGATTATCCACTTTGTTTTATTGGAGAATTGTGAGCCATTTACTTTTGAAGAAGCAGCAAATGATGAAAATTGGAGAAAAGCCATGAATGAAGAAATTCATGCAATTGAAAAGAATAAAATTTGGGAGCTAACAGAGTTACCAGCAGACAAGAAACCTATAAGAATGAAGTGGATGTACAAGATAAAGTACAAATCTAATGGTGAGATTGATCGCCTTAAAGCAAGGTTGATGGCAAAATGATACAAGCAAAACTCAAGTATTGATTATTTTGAGGTATTTGTTCCTGTTGCAAGGTTGAATACAATTATTTCGATCTCAGCTTAAAATAGTTGAAAAATAAATCAAATAAATATTAAGTTTGTATTTCTTAATGATAATCTGAAAGAAGAAGTGTACATTAAGCATCCAACAAGATATGTAGTTAAAAGAAAGAAAGATAAAATATATAGATTAAAGAAAATATTATATGACTTGAAGCAGATGTCAAGAGTTTGGTATAATAAGATTGATTCTTATTTTGTGCAAAATAGTTTTAGAGATGTCATCATGAGCACATGTTATATATTATCAAATACATTAATTTTGGAGATGTCCTTATTATGTGTCCATATGTTGATGATTTGATTTTCATTGGAAATAATTTAGAGTTGATTGCAAAATTTAAGAATGCTATGATTAGGCATTTTGAAATGATAGATTTGAATTTAATGTCCTATTTCCTTGACATTGAGGTCTTCCAACAAAATGATGAAATTTTCATTTTCAAAAGAAATATGCTAGTGATATTTTGAAGAAGTTCAAGATGAAACTTCCAAAACCAATTTACAGGTCTGTTTAAGAAAAGAAACAAAAAACAATCGATTGTTGAATAAAATGTCTATGCCATAAGTTAACCATAAACTAACTGTTTATATTTTTTAACGTAACTAACAATTGTCAACTGAACTACCACACTCACTACTCCGAATGACACATTTGATTTAAGAGTGACAATGTAATAACTAAATCAAGTGAAAAGATTACCTTGTAAATTTTTTGGAAGAATTCTAGAATTAGTTGGAAGATATTTAGACTTTTCTTAATTGCTCAGTCTTAGGTATTTTGCTTAATAGATAAGCTTCAAACATATGCTTAGCCAGTAAGATAGAATCCAGCTAGTACCACCACACTGTCATTTAATTACTTAACTTGGGTTTTTAAAAGCCTATAAAAAGGCACGTAAGGTTGCTTAGTATTATATCAGTTTCAAAAATAAAATAGAGTTGAGAATTACTAATTATAACTCATTTGTTATCAGAAAATGCAGTAACATTAAATTTTCTTTAAACAAAAATTATTTTCTATTATAATCTTAATCAATTAGAAGAATTGGTTTTTAAGATGACATCGAAAAACAATAGTATTACTTTCTAAGTTTGAATTGATGATTAAGTAAATGCCTCCCTGAATTTTGAAGAATTGGACAGGGGATGAAATCTATAAATTGAATTGTGATCTATGTTCCATAAAAGAATGTAATTAAACATTTTCTTATAGAAAATTAAATTTAGATAGAGTTAGAATCCAAATTAAAATAACTAAATCACAACAAGAAGAAAAAAAAACATAATAAGTTATAACATATATAAACTATAGAAAAAACACAACTATATATTACCAATGAACATCATCACCATAATTTACTGCATGTGTTCTTGATCCACCTAAAACTCTTCTTCAAAGACCCTTTCATTTTCTCTTCAACAGAATATATTTTATAACCAGCTACTCTTTTCTTTCTCTGCAACTCAGGATCACTAAAACTCCAACTTTTTGTTCTTTTTCCTTTTTCTATCTGCTTGTTTTGATCAAAACCAGCATAGCTTGTACTATAACTTCTCAGATCTTGCATGCTAGTTGGAGCTACTCTTCCACCATTGTAGCTTTCAATCTGAAAATTTTGATCCTTGCATGATTTGGATCTGAATTCCATGATGAGAATTCTCAAATTAAGGATGTGTTGAAACTTCTTAGGTGAGAAATTGTGTAATAAGAGAAGAATATATGGTTGGTGGTTAATGGTTTTCTTAAATATGTTTACTAACTTTATATTATAGATGATAAATTTGGTTGAATAGGAGGCAGTTGAAAAGTGGTGATTTAGTATTATATTTTGTTGTTTTTCTTTTTTAATTTAATGGTGAATGTATAGAGAGAGAGAGAGAGAGAAAAGTTTGAATTTTGCATGAGGTGTTGGAATTTGACTGTGGCTTTCACATGTGGAAGTGTCAAATGTGGCTGTTCAATTTTGATGGAGATAGGTGGCTACAATAGAGTAAGTGTTGTTTTTTACGTACTAAATAGAAATTAATGCATCACCATCTTAGGTAAACTTACAAAAATCCTAGTGGCAGATACTCAAACATCTTACGAGATTTCTAGACACCTATCCTTTCAAAATATAAAAGTTTTAGATCTTTAAGTTATAAATTCTTTTTTTTTTAAATGGAGTAAATTTATCTAACGCAACCAGAAAACAAATATCTTATATCTCAGTTAGTTTAAATAATAATCTAGATTGTTTTGGAATGAGTCTGTTTTTAATTCAATTTTATGTGAGATCCAATTTAATTATGTCGGTCAAGATATACTGACCAGTTCTGTCTTTGACTGCGTCGGATAACAACTTTCACTCTCCGCAAGGAGGCAATCTTGTCACACGAGAATAAATTCAATTAGTCTTAGGAAGATCATCGCTGGTCAGGAGGACCTCGAGGTCATCTTCTGATCTTTTCTGTATCAAGACTGATTCCCTCACATGATCTCGTGTCTGACAGGGAGTATCCACGACGAGCAGAAGCACCTCACGAGCATCCTCCTCGTAGGGCTGACTATCAATATCTCTGAATGTCAGAGTCTTCTTGATCCCAAAAAGACCGCATAGATATCTTTCTGATCTTGCGGAGGAAGTCATCCAGGTGAGGGACCACGTGCTGGTCCCCACTACTCACGTAGAACCTGGCAGTCTCCACTTTGGGCCTGCTTGACCAGCCCAATGAAGAGACTTTGGCCCAGCGCTGAGGGCTATAAATATCCTCTCTTTCGAGAGGGTCAGATATTGAATATTTCTCACTCTCTTACTTGCTTGTTCATTCTGAATCTCACTTTGGCATCAGAGTGTCTTGCAGGTACTCCTCTCACCTCACTCTCAAGTTCTGCTCGACGTAAGTTGTGACGGTCCATTCTGATCAGGTACGATCAGTGGCTCCGTCTATGGGAAACACAGCTTCCCAGTCTTTCATTCATCCATGACAAAAGCTAATCCAACTCCTTTTTGAATGTCATGGCTGATCTCACGGCAGAAAACAGCCTGAATGTCCATCCCGCCGATGCAACAACAACATCGCCGATCACAACACCGACATCAACAACGCTGGTCCCGCTGACCTCAACACTGGTAACGATAACAATACCGACAATAACAACAATGACCATGCCATTGACATGCCCGACCCCTCAGAATATAGAGACGGATTGACTGCCTCATCGTCATCACTGTCCAGACGAATCGAGAATGATCGTCGTCCTCCTCAGAACTACCAACAGAACCAGTTCCAAGAGGTCCCAGTTCATGTGGGCACTGATGCCACGACCAGGACACTCTTCGCGGCTATAAATCAAACAAACTACTTGATCTTCTCACAAGGTGGGAGATTAAGGGTGCTCGAAGATTCTCGAAGAGCCCCCAGAATACACAGGAGGCCTGATTCTCCTCCTGCCCTTTAGATAGAGGACCGTCTCCAATCTCCCCCACGAAGACGCAGACGGGATGCCTCTCGAAGCCCCTCTCCCCGACGAATCGGGCGACGCCCTGCATTGGAGAGGGATCAACCCGTTGATACGGGGAGATGTGATCACATTCCCCCACGCCAAGAGAGAAGACCCCCTGGAAACAGAAATAGGGGAATGAAAAATAATGACACCGGTCGAGGGATCCTCCCCGCGACCAGGGCCTCCATCACGACTGCCATTACAACAAGTCTCCTTCTCGATCTCCAGACAAAAGCGACAAAGACGACCCCCGCGGTCCCCTATCCCAAGCTATTATGGAGGCATCCATTCCCCCGAGTATGGAGAAACCTCCCATCTGAAGGAGTACGACGGTATTGTCGATCCAATCGATCATATCGACGGGTTCAAGGCAATGTTGCACTATCATAATGTCGGGGGACCGATCAAATGCAGGTTGTTCCCCACGACTCTAAGGAAGACTGTGATGAACTGGTATAAGAACCTCGCCCCGGGGTCAATTATCTCCTGGAAAAACTTGAAAAACCAGTTCATCATCTCATTCACTGCCTCAAGTCGACACCCGAAGACTGAGGCAGCCCTCGAGGCTATCGTCCAGAGAAGCGACGAGACCCTTAAGGAGTTTATTGATCGGTTCAACCGCGAGGCCATTCAGGTCCCTTGCACATATCATATAAAGAGATACCTGCTCGAGAGGGGACTCCTCCCGGGCACGGAGTTCAGAAAAGTCATTGGCATCGAACCACCGCAAACATTCTATGCTCTCCTCGAAAAGGCTAGGGCCTATATGGACTATGAGGAGAGGGAAGTGGTCAATGGAGCCTGGGACCCAAGGAATTATGGATCAACCAGTAATCTGCGACAACAAGATTCGGGCCCTCCTCGACGAACGAGCGAGAAGAGAAAGGATGACAAACCACGGGATGCTTGCGAGCAAAGAGGGCCCACATGGCGATTTACTGAGTATACTCCGCTGACAGCTTCACGCGGGCATCTTGGTGGAGTGTGCTAATACTGATTTCAAGGACGGCGGCGTCATGCGTCCTCGTCCTGCTCCTACTAAGCCAGGGGATAACCGGAGCAAGTACTGCCAGTATCACTAAAGCCATGGACACCTGACTGAAGAGTGTGTCCATCTTAAAGAAGCTATTGAAACCCTCATTAAAGGGTGGAGACTCGGGCAATAACGGCGCAGCGATGCCCCTCGACGAGATACCTGCGACACAAAGGAGGCTGAGGAGGATTCCCGACCATCTGACGAGACAATCTCCATCCAGACATCCTTCTCCGTTACAAGACCGGAGGACTTCTACGTCCCCGATGACATTGAAGAGCCTCTGTCCATGCACAGTAGGTGGAAAAGATTCCCCTCCGCCATGGTTATAAATGGCGGGGAGTTCATCAACATATCTATAAACTCCGCAAAGAGGAAGCTGGACGAGCTGGTCGACGCGGTCCCCCGCAAGCGGTGACATTTGAGAGGGTCAAGAGCAGATTGAAGCTGATCACATTATACCTAGAAGAATTTCCCAGAGGGGCCCCTAATTCAAGCATCCCTCTTCTGGTTAGGGCGAGGATGGCTAATTTTGACGTTCATCGCGTCTTGGTTGACGAAGAGAGTTCCGTCAATGTATTGTATAGCCAACTCTTCCGAACCCTACAACCCGACGACACCCACCTCTCACCATACGTAGGGTCCGACCTGCAGGGCTTCAAAGGCTCGAGCTCCAAACCATGGGGGTACGTGGAGCTCTTAGTCACCTCCGGCGAGGAGACCGCCACCAGGCAAGTCAAGGTGCAGTTTTTGGTCATCGACTGCCCGTCTCTCTACAACTGTATCTTAGAGAGACCAACACTGGCGGAATCGACCGTTGTTCCCTCCATCGTCCATCTAAAGATAAAATTCTACACAACGAGGGGATGCATCGCCACCATCCAAGGCGACCTCTCAGCTGCCCAGAGATGCTTCAACACAACGTCAAAGGGACAGAGTACGATCGACACTGGAGCACGACCCGCCAAGACAGAGGAAAAAAGAGCTCCTCCCAAGGTAGACTCCATTTTGCTGGACACCAGCTTCGACCAGGATGAAGCACCCGACGGCGAGCAGGGACTCCTCTGACCAATCCCGATGGAGACTTTGAGCTCGTCCCCCTCGGTGAAGACCCTCACAAAGGTATGAAGATTGTCACTGGACTCTCCGACCTGGCGAGGAAGCATATCAAATCTTGCTTGAGGGAAAATGCAGACCTGTTCGCTGGAGTGCTGCGGAGATGCCCGATCTCGACCCCGAGGTCGCCTACCACCAACTGGCCATTGATCCACCCGCTAGGGAAATAGTACAACGTAGACGTAGGCACTCCCGAGAAAGCATATGCTATTGAAAATGCTGTAAAAGACCTCCTAGAGATAAATTTTATTTCCGAGGCCAAGTATTCAACCTGGTTGTCAAATGTTATACTAGTTAAAAAGAATAATGGAGAATGGCATATGTGTGTTGACTATACCGATCTTAACCGGGCGTGTCTCAAAGATGCATCCCCCTTGCCTAATATTGACATGCTGGTCCATAACTCGGCCGATTATAAAATTTTATCTTTTATGGACGCCTACTCGGGCTACAACCAAATTCTAATGGCGATGAGCAACAAGCACTGAACCACTTTCATGACCAGCTCGGAAAATTATTACTACAACGTAATGCCCTTCGGTCTGAAAAATGCAGAGGCGATATACCAGCGGATGATGAATAAAGTCTTCCACAACGAGATCGGAGATATGCTCGAGGTATACATGGACAACATGATCATCAAATCTCGAGCAGACACGGACCATGCTGCCCATCTCAGAAAGGTCTTTGCCCAAGTGAGACAGTGTAGAATGAGGTTCAACCCCGAGAAATGCACTTTTGGGGTTAAGGCGGGAAAATTCCTCGGTTTCTATCTAACGAAACGGGAAATTAAAGCCAGCCTCGATAAGTGTCGGGCATTCTCCGACCTCCCTATGCCTAATTCGAAAAAATGCATACAAGTCCTGAACGATATGCTCACCTCGCTCTCCCGTTTAGTGGCGAAGTCCGCTCAACACGCCCTTCCATTTTTCAAACTTCTGCGCAAAGAGGCAGCTTTCGAATGGACTGAAAATGCGAGCAAGCCCTCCTCCACCTCAAGAAAAGCCTCTCGC